AAAGGAACAAAAAAAGCAAAGCAGATCTGTTATGTGCAACATTCTCTCAAAGTGTATATAACCTTCTGGGAGCGTCGCGCATGATCCACCGAAATGCAATTTTAAAGCTTCCTCGGATTTTTTTTTTTTTTTCCTCATCATCAATCTATTCGCAGAGCTAGTGAAGTGTGAAAATGAGGAAGTGTCATGGTATACAACACTCCTGGAGACACCGGAGTGAGCCAGTGTGTGTTGGGCTCAAACGAGATAATGGGATTGGTTTATTCCTCTGAGACTTCTCTCTTATTGGCTGAGCGGCGTTAATTCACAATAATGACAATGTGCATCACGCTGTTGCCTGTGGCACCCCGGCTGTGGCAGCTGCTCCAGATACAGCGAGTGTGTGTGTATGTGTGTGTGTGTGTGTGTGTGTGTACATCAGGTGTATGCGCACCTACATGTGTCCATTTGTGTTAGCGCTGTTAGGTGTTAGCAGATTGCAGTGTGAACGTGTATAGGGGGGTCACCGGGGATGTGCTGTCTCTAATTTGTCGGGCATCTAAACACAATGAAGATATCAGAAAGCTTCCGTCAGAGTTGTTTATGTAAATGAGCTTATTAAAGACCGACAGGGGTTGCCATGGAGAAGAGGAGCAGATCAGTGTGAGGGCTTTGCGACTCCACTCAGGAAAACCATTACTACATATCTAATGTGTTATTCTGGTTAATCACAACACAGTCACCTTACACAGTTATCCAATGCGAGGGACTTTTTTAAATCCTACTCCCCAGTCACTTCCATTCCAGCTCTGCAGAGTTCAGATACAGCCTCAGAAACCCCCTCCTCATCACATCCTGCATTCTTCTATCACTACCACTAAAAAAATAAATGGGAGGTTTCGACATTACCTGACTCTTAAAGCTCTGTGTATATCTGGTTCAACCCTTTGTGTCTACTTGTCCATTGCACAACTGTCCTCCAACCTTTAATGCACAATCCCATTTCCTTCCCCAGTTTCTCTATTTTCTCTCTCTTGCGTATTCCCTCGTCTCCTCCTCACATTAAATCCCGTCTCTTTATTGTGACCTTCTATCCTTTTTTTCCACAACAATCATTCCTCTCCTCCCCGTGCTTTTGTTCTTTCATTTCCTCCTATCCTCGTTCCCTCGTTTAATGACTGCTCCCTCTCCCTCCCTCCCAGCTAGTCAGTATTCAGACTTTATTTCATTTCAAGGAGGGTCCATGTAAGACGTGCACACACACACACACACACACACACACACACACACACACACACACACACAATAAGACACAATAACACACACACACAAAATAAACACAGACATTGAGCTGATAACTGTCATTCATAAATCACGAGCCCCGAGGCCTCGGCTTATAATCAGATTCCCAATCAGTTGCAATATGGTCTTCTATTTCTTTATCACACACACGCACGCATACACGCACACACACGCACACACACACCTAGAAGACAACACAGAGGCTCGAATAACCTGGTTTATGACTCGAGTGGAGGAGGAAAAATATTGTTTATAAGTGAATAATCCTCACAGTGGAAGTTGTGTTTTTGTGTAAAAACACTCTGACATTTACTTTTAAGAAGACAAGACACAGTGACACTCTCTCTCACACACACACACACACACACACACACACACACACACACACACACACACACACACACAAACACACAAACTAAGACAAAATCACAAGTATAAAATCTGCTACAAGCCGTGATGCCTCAGCATGATTTAGTGTTTACACAGCAATTAACAGCACAGCACAAGGTGTCTGTTCTGTTGCTGATCTAACCACAACAGCTAAATGTGTGTGTGTTCCTTCCTTCTTCACGCGGCACAAAGTCTCACATCACAGCTCAAAATAGTCCACAGCCCCTTTTCTCCATCAGCGACTAGACACAGAAACTTGTGCTCCACTTCCACCGACTGATTAGACACTAATTAATTGGATGTCCCTCGTTAAGCAGCAGACCCAGTTAATAGAAGCGTGCCCTTAAAAGCGGTGGCACAGACAGTGATGGTTATTGACCCTTAAACACCTGGGGGAATCCAGATGACAGGTGTCTGTAGGTCATCGTAATTGTCAGTTTATGTCAAGATAATTATTTCTATGTTGGGTCGACTCTCATCTATGCTTCAACACCTTCTACATCACTCACTTCCTGGTTTGTCAACTGTAAAGCTTTCGAACAACAAGAGAGTAAAGGTTGCCAGCAGAATCTCCTCTTCTCCACCTCTTCCTGTTGGAGTCATCAGCGCTGTGCTCGTAGGGCCTTAAGCATCATCAAGAACCGGGGTCAGCCCTATGGTCCCACAGCCCAATGGTCCCACATTTTTAAGAATTTTCTCAAAATTAAGCCCTATGTTCCCACAGGGTAGGGTTAGGGTTAGGGTAAGTGATACACTGATACAAATTTATGAAAAAGGAAATGTGGGAACATAGGGCTGTGGGAAAATAGGCACGCTCCCCAAGAACTGTCACCACCCATCCCAAAAATTGTTCTCCCTCCTGCCATGAGGCCAGAGGTACACAAGCATTTCAGCTAAATCCAGCAAAAATGTTTGCTGACAAACAAGTCACCCTGTAGCAACACCACATCCTGGAGCTAAGATTAGCTGAAGTAGCAGCTGCCAACAGCTGTTCTGTCAGTTAAATTGAAGGAAGTGACCTGACGACGTAAAGCCTCCTTTACATTTACATTAGTTTACATTAAATAAAAGACTGATTGAAAATAATGATTCTATAACTCCTCCAGTTAAGATCTCATCTTAATCATATGCATGTCATCTTGTAATTTTGTGCAATCAACATACAGTGTGCCTGACAGATGGAGTAACAGCATCCAAGACAAATGGTCAATTGCATTCAATTGCAAAAGATACTAAACATAAACATTGTTGCGTCTGCAAAAGTAGAGATATTCTTATGCAAAAGAATGCAAATGAAAGCACCACCAAGTCCACCTTTCATTCTGTGGCAAGATAACTAAAGTGCTGTGGATATTAAAAGTCCAAATAGTGAATGAATAGCCAAAGAGCTCCCTGCATTACTGCCACTGCACCGAACACATCCATTAACTCCCCCCCCCCCCAACCTCTTTTCTGTACACAAGGTGTTGTTCATTCTGCGGCTCAATCACAGCTACAGGCTTCTCTCCCAGCTTTAACCTCTCTCAGCCTCTCACACCCTCCACTCCACCCGGCATTAAAAGCCTCCTGCACGCGCTCTTTTGTTGTTTAAATAGGTTTCTTGTTCCACCCAGCTGCTCAGCCGTTAACCTGAGCTGGATTTGGACACGCGCCACAGCCCATCAAGTCCCTCTGGGCAATGCAAACTTAATCCCACCGCCGTAAAGCGTATGCACTGATCCTCGAAACACAAGCTACACACCTCCACACATAACCAATATCTGTGTGCATTGAGTTGGATCTTTAGTTTGCAGGATTCACAGTGGACCAGGGGTTGCTATAACAACAACAGCACGACAATCTTTCTCTGACCCATATTGCACTGTTAAAAATCTTAGGTCAAAGAATAAACTCTTATTTAAAGCAGGAAACCTCAGAGAGGGTGAAGGGTTGGTCAGAAACACTTTAGAACAAGGCATATGGTGAACAGAAAATGACTTTACTTGTTGCCTATGATTTTAAGAGTATCTCTCAATACTGTAAATGACAGACTGCTAATTTAATTAAAAAAATAAGTGAGGGGAAAAAAACTGGAAAATACTCAATTTATAATGTATATTTTAGTCAGACAACTCATGTTTGAAATTTGGCACCCCAGGCTCTGACCTTTTCAGTCCTCTCAGATTGATGTTCATGCTGACATTTGTGTAGCGCTAAGTTAATATATTAAACCTCCTGTAGCTGACGCCTACAGGTGGATCCTGGGAAAGTAGTGGGGCTGAAAGTATGAGTGCAATACTGGTGCAGGGTTTTTTTTTCCCAATATTTTTATTGGCATTTTTTAAAAACACAAAGGAAACATACAGTAACAGTTAAACAGTTTCAGACCTTAAACCCATACATGTATCGACAAAATACACAAACTCACATGCCCACACTCAACTTGCACACATTTTTATATATATATATATATATATAAAAATACAATTTCTGTTCAGGTGAAGCCTATATTCCTGGCTTCTATAATGTTCATATATGGTTCCCAGAGCTGGACAAAATCTCTTTGTTTGCCTTTAGCAATGTACGTTAGTCTCTCCAAGCCAATACACTCTGAAAGTTCCTTTATCCACATTCTCAATGTAGGAGCGTCCATACTTTTCCAACATAGTAGCTCTCCTTGCTTGTAGACGTCCAAAGTCCAGAAGTTTGGTCTGTTTGTGAGTGTTTGCAAAGTCCTCCGGAAAAATTCCAAGCACACAGAGTTTGACATTTAAAGGAATTTTTGTTTTAAAAACCTCTGACAAACATTTTTCAACATCCAAACATACAACATCTTTCCAAAGTACTGGTGCAGGTTAGCAGTAACAAAGCAGAGGGAGAGGCTGTAAATCTTGTATCTTAGATAGAGCACCAAGTTGAGGGGATTGTGGTCAGGTTGATTGTGGTGAAGGACGCATGACAAGTGTGTGAACTAGCTCACAGGAGTGAGAGTTTCAGCAAACACTATCGATGAACAGTGGAATATGATCCAGCCTCCTATGTGGCTCAGTTTGTAGAGTCGGTTGTTTCTCAACCAGAAGGTCAAAGCTTCAATCCCCAGCTCCTGCAGCCACATGTGTCATTTGGCAAGACACTTAACCCTAAGTTGCTCCCACTGCTTTGTCGGCAGCGTGTGAATGTGTTTGAATGGGATTAATTAATACAGATGGTCACTTTACACAGCAGCCTCTACCATCAGTGTGTGAATGTGTAGGTGTGACATGCGGTGTCAGAAGACTAGAAAAGCACTATACAAGCTCAAGTCCATTTAGCATTCATGGAGACCTCTTGTTGTTGTCTTTGTCCCACAGGCATCAATCAGGGCAGCTGTTACAGAATCAATCATTTCCCTGACGACAACGACTACGACACAGACAGCTCTGAATACCTGCTGCGTGAGTACACCTCAGCTCCCTCTTTGTCTTGCATTGACAACAGTTTGCTTCATTTCATTCCTACAGGCACACAGAAGTGCACCGACCTTCGGCTTCTTTGTTCCTTGTTCTTAGAGCAGCCTGCAAAACAGGAGCCACTCTTAAGAGATACTGATAAAATGAAGAACAAAGACGTGAAGGTTTCTAAAAAAAAATGTGTCAGCATTCAGTAAGAATTCAAGAACATACAGGGCTGGATTTTAAAATGCATTGTATGAGACAAGGTTCTTATCTACGGAAGCCCAAAGTGGACATGTATACCTACATTTCATCATCCTTTTATCCCTTCATAGTGAGTAAAGTGTCGGTTGTTTTCTTGAGCTCTCGACTTATTGATCTCCTGCCAGAGTTGACTGACGGCCAGATTTTGGAAATGTCGTGCTGTTTTTTTTTTACCAGCTAAGACAAATAATCGTGCTGGTGCCAAAAGAACACAGTTTGCAGCTTAGCCATGTTGCGCCCAGGAGGCATCAAGAGAAAAAGAGAAAATCAGCTACAGCTGCCTGCACCTTTTAAACCATAACTTGAAGAGATCATGTGGAAAGACAGCCAGCAAGTTCATCCTGGACATGCATACATACATTTTACTTTTAATTTTCCTGTGATAACGAGTAAATTCTTGTTGTTTTCTTAAGATCTTGACATAATTGTCTCGTATCAGAGTTGCAAAAACACAGAAGTTACATCATTAGTGTGGACAACGACAGCATCATGTTCTGACCTATCACAGTGACCAGCCTATGGTGCTGTTTTCAAGATCACCAGACACTTAAGTTATGACTAAAACACAAGCTTTTTTATGTTTTATCATATTAAGATGCATTATTCCATTATAGGAGGGACACTTGATTTGATTTGCTATTCCCAGTCTATAGGTCTCCAGAAACAGCAGCAAATGACTCGCTTTAATGAGAAAACGGACTAAACATAATTTGTTGATGCATTTCCACTTCAGGCTTCCGTACTAAACAAGTGATAATTTAATGTTTATTTTTTTATCTGTGTGACTTTGGATGTCCTAATTCTCTTACACATTATTTTGCAGCTTTAAATCACTTGTTATGTCACAGCAGAGTTAAAGGTAGCTGGTCAAAACACTACTGCAAGTTGCTGCATCGGTTTGTCTGGAAAGCTTTAATTGTAGCTTTAATTGTCTAAAACGTTTTAATGGACTCTCACACTTGAAGAAAATTGTCCCTTTCTTGCTAATTAATTAACTCCAACCCCACACAAGATAGCTCAAACATAGCTGTGGCTCATTTTTATTTTCCTATTAAGAAAGAATAATGTTTCTACAAAGCCTAATTTAAAGTCTTTACTTCTTAATAACTCTGATTGATGCTCGGTCGTCAGCAGCTTCTTTTAATGACACAACTGTGCAAAGAGGGGTTTGTTTACTCTTCACCGTCTCAAAGGAGAACTTTGATAAAAGAAATACATGGAAGAAACTCAAATCGTAGCAAGTGTATTTGTCTAATTTGAGGTCAAAAACATCTCGTTGCACAGAAAATTACCTGACCAAGCAGCAACCTTCGGTGTTGAGATTAGTCCAGATTAACATTTCATTTCAACATCATAAAGCATCAAAAATAAGACCTGAATTGATTTACATAAGTAGAAAATATTTGCCAGCAGTAGCAAGCAAATTTTACCTTCTAAGTAAAATAGAAATGAGATGTCTATTTATCATTACAAGACAAGACACTTTCTTGCCCCATTGGCAGATTTGTTTTTAACTTCAGGTCAAATGTTTGAGTTCTATATCTTCAAATAAGATGTTTTTCTGTACTCTTCATGTGAATGTGGCTTATGATAAGTGTAATCATATATATGTATATAAATATATTATTAAATGTTTTAAAGGTTTACTTTGGGCCTCTTTTTGAGAGATAGGACGGTGGATAGAGTTAGAAATCTGGGAGAGCGAGAGAGAGGGGAAACAACATGCGGGAAAGGAGCCGTAGGTCAGATTCGAGGACTACAGGTTCTGTACATGGTGCGTGCAAACTAACCACTATACCGGTGCCCCGTAATCGGATATTTAAAAAAAGAAATTAGACAAATACACTTGCTAAGGTTTGAGTTTTTGCAGTGTAGCTGCGTGAAAACATTAAAAAGCCTTCCTCCCCGTTTTATAAATCCAAGGTAAATGTCTGTGAAATCTGGTCAGAATGAAAGAGATAAGGCTCAGACATTGATCAGATTTGAAAACAGAAATGAGGATATTGAATCAGCAAAGCACCTTCATTTAAGGCACAGCCAAGTCAGGATCCTCCTCATATATGAAGAACAAAGAAGACTTGTCAGACTTTGGAAAAAACTGAGTCCATTAAGCCGGAGGACAGCTGAATAAGCTCATCCTTTCTTGCTCGCTTTTTTAAAATGGCACAATGATTAATTTTTTCCGGGGAAGGTGATAGTCAGTGAGCGCTCTCATTACATCCCACAGCTGATTAGCAGAGCTTTGTCACAACAAGGCCCCCCAAGTATAAAAAAGATAATGGAGTTCTCAAAAAGGGATGGCAGAAGAGAAGGGACAGGATGGATGAGGGCTCAGCGGGGTAATTGAAATTCAAATTATTTAAAAGAGCCCATTTTTCTTTTTGTGTTAACTGACTTTATGAATATCACCGTAAGTGAACTGTTTTAATCTTTGAATTGTTTTATTTTAACATCTATAAAGTTATTCATAATTAAACCAATAATTGATTTGTATGTGTGTTTAACTCACTGGCCTCTCTATCAGCCAATCAATTGCCTGTTCATGATTGAAGTTTAAACCGTATAGTAGATATGATAGTTGATATAGTAGAATATCGGGTCAGACAACAGACTGTAAAATGTGTTGTTGTGAAAAAGGGAACTTTTTATTTATTATAATTTATATGTTTGTTGGATGTTCTTTGTGCTGTTTGCGACCTCATTCAAGCTAGTTTCCCATACAAGTAAATGTGAAGTGATACTTAAAATCCAGCTGATACAGCCTAAGGGGAAACATTTCCACACACTCTTTACTTAACACAAGTTCATTTATTGAGAAAAAAAAAGTCCTTATTGCAATAAAGGTGAAAAAGGTCAGTCTCCAAAAAAGGGAAAAGCTGCTTTGAAGCTAAGCTAATAAAACCTCACATCATATTTGGTAGACTTATTATACATCTCTCATATTTTTGAGTCATGTTTGATCTGTTGCAGAGAGGTGGTTATTACAACATAAGTATTCTTCTTCTGCTGTGCAATGATGCAATAAATCAGAACGGTAATTCCCATCCAATACAGTAAAGCTAAACGGATGAGCCTGTTTTGAAAATCTAAAGGAGTCGAGATAGAACATCTGTGGTGAAATGTAGGCGATAAAAGGAAATAGTTGTCAGAATAATAAATACTCAAAATTCTATTTTAGCTAAAAAATTAAATTGTACTCCATTACTGTCAATCAATGGTAAAAGCCTGTAGTTCTCACAGGTCACTGACTTAATCAAATGATGGTGCTAGTGCGAAAAAGCAGAGTTTACTGGCATTTTTGCTCCCTTTAATCCTAACTCGTACAGATTATGTTCACCATGTCCTCACTTTTATGTCTCTGCAGGTATAGTTCGGGCCTCCAGTGTGTTCCCCATCCTCAGCACCATCCTGTTGATGCTCGGCGGGCTGTGTGTCGGCTTGGGTCGCGTCTACAGCAAGACAAACAATGTCCTCCTCAGCGCGGGGATTCTCTTTGTCGCTGCGGGTGAGTTCGAGGGTTAGAACGTTAACCAGGTGCTCATGAGAGAGGAGCAATCACGTCAGGGTGGTGGTTTTAATAATGGAGAGAGGCAGCTTGATTTGACTCCCGTGGTCACGTATTGAACTTCATGAATGGTGCAATCAAGAAGACGAGTTTCATTCCCCACTAAGGATTTTTCTTTCATCATGCACCTCAACCAGACGTGATCATTAGATGCATCAGTAGAGATAAGATACCTGTAATCGTTGGCTGATGACTAACTTCACAGCGGGAGTTCTTGACTTTCATCATTGTTTCCAGAAAAGCCAAGGTTGATTGGTGATTGTCAGCCCGTCCTGTAGATTGCTTTTACACTTCATCATCTGCCTTTCGGCCGCTTTTTCCTTTTTAAATCACTGTGTTGTCTTTCTGTCTCTTCTTTAAGGTCTTAGCAACATAATCGGCATCATCGTCTACATATCGAGCAATGCAGGAGACCCAAGCGACAAACGGGACGATGACAAGAAGTACACTTACTCCTATGGGTGGTCCTTCTACTTTGGCGCGCTCTCCTTCATCGTGGCGGAAACCGTGGCCGTTCTCGCCATCAACATCTACATCGAGAAGAACAAAGAGGTCCGCTGGAAGGCGCGACGGGAGTTAATCCGCTCGCTCTCCTCCTCTTCCCCGTACTCGAGGATACCGAGCTTCCGCTACCGCCGGCGGACGTCGCAGGCCAGCTCTCATTCCACAGAGGCGTCTCGGGAGAACTCGCCGGTGACCAACCTGAAGGGGGTTCCGTCTTCCAGTGGGCCCCTGGACGAGCTGTCCATGTACGCCTTGGCGAGGGACAGCATGATGGAGAGCACGTATAGCCCCGAACACGAGGCGACAGCAGAGTTTCTCCAGGTCCATAACTGTTTCCCCAACGATATAAAGGACGGGGTGAATCGCAGGACCACACCGGTGTGACACACACGCTGCTGAGCTGGAAGTCCGCCTGAAAGTAGACAAAATCAGTGGACTACTTCAGTGTGACATACCACCACCTTTAGAGTCTTGTTTTTTCAGAGAGACTCTTTTTCGTCGAAGGCTGAAAGAGAAGAGAGTCACCGGACTTCAAAAGAGCCAATGAAATTCATTTATCTGCTTTTAGACACCGTCAAAGCAGAGTAGAGTTGTATTGTCTGTGCTGTAGCCGATACGACCTTAGACCCCCGTCTCCACCTAGAGTTTTTTTTCTCAGCGTCAGCGTCTTTTTCCATTACAATGGGTAGAAAGCATTCGCAGCAGAAAGCAGCCGCCTGGCTGAAAAGAGCAGAGCCCAGCATCCTTTTTAACAAGCGCTCTGCTGGTTTTGTGCGGCCGCTCCCGAGTGCTCAAGTTGAAAATCCTTCAACTTTTCAGAAAGGCTCTGGTGACATCCCGGGCGCGCTTTTCAAAATGAATGATATTCCCTACGGATCGTATCTTGTACCTACATCCTCTTCGAGTCTGCTGGGGTAAAAAACAATCTCAAATATAAAACATGCAGTAAAAATAACAGAGCCGTGTTGGTCATACAGCAGCCGTTGTCAACAAACTGTTGTCATAGAGACAGGACGGACATGCAGCGCTTTTCTTCTCAGTGTACAAACGCTTCATGCAAACACTCCCGAGCGCGCAGTCAGTGCTTTTTTCTGCCCGGAAAAAAAAACACTAGGTGGACACGGGGCCTTTTGGATCAAACCCTTGTTTGTGTAACTAAAACATTGTGGGTTACCTGAGCTTGAAGTGTCAAAATGTGCCAATCAGCTACCTGTGAATGACTGAACACGGTGCTTAATGAAATGTTGTGTTCATCTTGAAAGTGTTCCATTTGTGTGTGAAATTGCTTCAAAGTGTGGACTTCCCCTTCGGAGTTTGTTACATGTTCTCATAAACATTACTATTATCCTGCCTTACATTCTTATCAGGGCTGCTCCATATTCAACTGGTTGTTAGATAAAGTCGATACCAGACGATGATCTGTAAATCTATTTTCTTTATGGGGAGGGATTGGAAAATGGATTTAGCTCCAAGTCTAAATGTTATCAATAACTTTGCTTGAGCATTATGGGGCAGCCCTAATTCTTATCATAGGTTTGAAGCAGACCCCTCTGTTTCTCAGCACTGCCCTTTATATTTACAACATATGGCCTTTTAGACAGACTCAAATTTTAAGTATTTTTGAGCATCTTTCTTGAGTATGGTTTGGGAGTCCCTGTCTTTAACCAATGCCTGATCCTCTCTGTGGTTGATGTGTTGAATGTTAAGTATTTCATCCAGTCCTCCAAACTATATGAAAGATTTTGTCTCCATCACTGTCTCTTCTTCAATCCTTTTCTTCTCTGACATTTGTCAGTCGAGCAAAATGTCAGTTCAGTCAGGAGGACCCCCTTTTTTATTCACTTCCATATCAGTCCATCTCTTCCTCCCCCCCCCCCCCCCCGTCCCCATGGATGTGACATTGTGTTTGTGTGCGCTTGTCACAAAAAAAGAGCGGCTATCAAAAAAAGCGGGGAAGCCCAGAACTGTGAAAACTTCCCCTGTCAGGACTTCCTTTTGTGTTTAATGAAGTCCCGGCATGCAGAGTGTGTTACGGATAAGGATCAGAACCAGACGGAGAACATTTGTCTATCTGTCACATCCGCCTGAAAGTCCATCTGGTTGCCCCCCCCCCCCCCCCCCCATGTCAAACAGAGGACCCAGACAGGAGCAGAGGGAGCTGTCTACAACTGGGACCCTGAAGGATTGGGCTCTATTAACCAGACATTCATATGTGTGTGTGTGTGTGTGTGTGTGTGTGTGTGTGTGTGTGTGTGTGTGTGTGTGTGTGTGTGTGTGTGTGTGTGTGTGTGTGTTCTGTCTTTACGTTCTCTCAGGTAACGCTGTGTTGTTTTGACAGGTTTAACACTTTGAGGTCCATCGTTACAGTGCTGGGAAAAAAAGGACCGGTGATAAAGATAAACCTGTAGAGAAAAAAAAAAGAAAAAATGCCATTACTGTATTTAGCTGTGAGGCTGTGCTTGAGCTCGCTCCAAGAACCAGCTGGAGTGGGATTTTTTTTTTTTCTTCCAGTCTGAGGGCTATTCAGCCTCTTCAGGATTGGCAAGCGAGCTCACTCCACCACAGAATAGTATTTGATTGTATTTAGTGTGTTTGATATTTCATTAAAGCTATACCAGGCTGACGATGTAAAAGAAAGCCATCAGTATGATCCACTAGGAGTGTAGGTCATACACTTTTATATTCTAGTTTGGTAGAAATGTGTTGTTTGTAATGTAAACATGCAAAGTTGTATATGAAAGAAGAATAAAAAATACAACAAACAGCTTTGTCTCAATAATTTCGGTTTTGATGCTATATGTGTCTGCTCAAACAGTAACATTTGATTTAACCAGGGTGATGATTTGATCTTCCTCTAGCTTGTGGACGATCTTGTGGATTGAAATGTTGACTTGGTTAAATACATTTGCCCATTGGGAGCTGAGCAGTGTGCACACCTTTTTCCTTTTTTCTGCAGTTAGTACATTTCTTGTCCTGCACCTGTTTGCATTTTTCCTGAATGTGCACACAGTTTTCTGTTATATAATTAAATGTTACATTATATATTCAGTTTAACAGATTGTACACTATACAATTCCAGTCTGATTTTATTATTCTAATTTAGCTTGAGTAATGTTGCCTGGATGAATACAGTCAGTTCATTCTGAAGGCAATCTATTCTGTTATGAGTACATTTAGCTTGACAAGGTTGTTCTTTCTTCCTGGAGTGACCATTTGGAGGATGGAGGGTTGCAGCAGCTCATCACCGCTGAGTTTATACGTTTCAAACCTGATTTTAGCGGAGGTGATTTGCATCTTTCTCGCATTGCTCTTACAGTGCTGGTACGAAGCGTTGAGGTGACACTGATATGCTTTCCTGCCTCATGTTGCTCCTTACTCTGACCTGAGGTGATCACCACTCTGGTACGACCAAGAGGTAACTGCTGGAGCCGAAACACGGTGCCAACACAAGGGTGTCCAAAACTGCAGTTCCTGAAGTGGCCACTTGAGGCTGGCTCCTAAAGCGAGTCGATCTCCATTAAACTCCATATAACTGTGCAGCGGATGTAATCATGTTTGCATCCTGAAAAAAACAAAAGAGTTTAGCTCATTTTTGTGTTCTTGACGTCTGTGAGGGGATGAATCCTATAAACTTCTTAAGAGACTTCAACCAGTATAGGTTTAACTTGCTTTGTCCATTATTTACGGGGTATATGGTAAAGCTCTATAAATCATTATTCCAGCAGATGAGATTCTCTCACAGTTCTGGTACTGAGGTCTTGTCGGGTATATTTCAGGTACTGTAATTCTGAGGACCGTCTGAGGATGTCACTTCAGTATCCCCCCCCCCATTTTTGTACCACACGTTCACATTGCTTATGACATGTTTCCACAGTCATCCTCCCTGCTGCCTGTTGCTTGGAGACTCTGCAGCTGTGAGGTGTTTCGGTGTCTCTGTAGTTGCCGGGGGACCGGGGAGGAAATGAATGAGGTCACAGGGTCAACTGGTGAGGCAGGGCTGTGCTTTAAGACACCGTTATTACACACTTAGAGATGAGTGGTCGCTCTCACCGCTTCTCCTCTGGGACTACAGGCAGTTTTGCTGTGAATGTATCAAGGTGGAACGTGATAATGAACACAACTGTCTCTCATCGCCACCAAAACGTCCATGCGGGGGAAGGGGGGGGGGGAGTGGCTAGTGAGTGAGGTGACTTATCTTTAATGATCAATTTCCTGGTTGGGTTAGCTTCTTATGGTGTTTACAGAAAGCACTTTAGTTCCTTCACATTTTCTTCTCCAGAAAGAAGCATACATCACACTGGCTGAGGTATTTCTGTCCAGGTGTTTGGCGACACCTCCCCCATACTAAAATCCTCCGCTCCCCTCCAGCAATACCTCCCTGAGGTCCACTCGTGTTCACATGAAGGAGTGGTAGACAAAAGTGTCCTTTTGCCTGAAAAGCAATCGCCTGTGTCCTGCATTGTTGTGTTAGCAGGCTAATGTTAGCGCTCTTTAGTTAGCTCGTAGCTTCAGCATCGCATTGTGTGTAAATTGACACATAATGACCGTGATCTAAAACGCTTACATGACATCCAAATAGGCAGTGAGTCTTTTTTTCTTTAGTACTTGACTTAGACAGCTTTATACACAAGGGGAGGAGCCGGCCATCCTGTATATGTAAACATGATGTAAACACGGCTCTGACAACAACACAGCCAGCAGGACTCGAGCTTCTCACTCACTATAGACAGTCATAACTCAGAGAGACATTTGCACAGGATAGACTGGATTTCTGATACATTTTTGTGTAACATTTTCACATTCTTCCTCTAAGTAATTGGAGTACACAATAAACTCCCTCGTCCTCCACAAACACTCACACACAAAAAAATTAAAGACTTCCCCTTCACCTCTTGCTTTAATATCTTTGTATTTAATGTGTTAAAAGCTCAGCGCTGTGTGAGGGCTGAAAATGGGCCAGAGTGCTGTTTTTTAAAGTGGGGCACGGAAGTTTATAAAAAGCATGCCCATTTACTGAAGGATTTCATTGGGAGAAGGTTGATTGTGCCTTTGAGATGTTTCAGCTTTTGACAGTTTTTTTTGTTCATCCTCAGATTGAGGTGCTGATGATTTTTTTTGTGCACAACCATGAAAAAGTATTTGGGTGGGAGATCAAATTTGAAATGGGAAAAGATTGTTTTTGTGTGCAATTCACAGAATGCCACGGCTTTGTGGAGTATTTTTAAGAACTAGATGTGGATGTAATAGCCAGGAATATTCAGAAGGGCATTTTATTCAAATCAAAACTCAGGTAAATACAAACCTCTGATCAAAATAAAAAACTCCAGACTGTGTGCTGCCAGACTGATTCAAACTTCAAATCGACATTTTAGAGGCCCTTTTTTAAAGCCCATTTTCTGCCTTTCTGAATCTGGATCAGCTGCTGGTATTAGGTGGGACCTTTTGTCTCACAGCTGAACTGCTGATTGGCTGAATAAGTGGATCAGACTACAACTAATAAAGGAAACGTCCCCCAGAAAGAGTCCCCTGGCACGCAACGCCTGAGAGACAATCGAGCTGGAAACAGATCAAACTGAATAAAGGAATGAAAAGATTTGTCGAATAAATGACACATTGATATCACCCAATGTTTGACGTGCAGATTAAATATTGAGAAGAACTGTCAAAAGAAGTTTCCCATAGATTGTCTTTGATGATGTAGTTAGAAGTTCATTTCCAAACTTTACATAAAAGAGCTTGAATCAGTATCAGAGTTGTTAGTTTATAGGTGTAAAAGGTGCAGAATTTCCCAGTATATCTCCTTGTCGTCGCTAAATGGCCTCAGCTCACTGAAGGCGACCAGGGAGGGAGAGGAGGAGAGGAGCGAGGAGGAAACTAGGGCACTGTTATCTGGCCCCTTTCTGCCAACCACCAGGCACCAGGCGGAGAAAGAGAAAGAAAGAGCTGAGGACAGGAGAGACGAGAGGACATCAGGCGGAGTGAAGCTGGAGACAAGACGGGGGAACCTCTGGAGTCAACGCCCGACCTCAAGGAGCTGCACACAAACACATCACACACATACACACACACAACACACACACACACATCCACAACTTTGGTGCAGCAACATGTTCGAGGAGCAGGCGACCAGGGTGAAGATCACGTCCGTGGTGATCGTCGTGGGCATGTCGGCGATGCTGGCGGCGGTGGTGACCGACCACTGGGCCGTGCTCAGCCCTCGGGTGGAGAGGCTCAACGCCACATGCGAGGCGGCCCACTTTGGCCTCTGGAGACTCTGCAAAAAGATCATCTTCATCGTGGAGGAGGACCCTCAGGGCAAAGGCTGCGGCCCCATCAGCTTACCCGGAGGTATGGAGATTTTTTGATCTTTGCGTCTGTTGGATGGTTTTTATCCTTCTAAATGCTCACAGTCAAGGTGACCAAAGCGTCTTCTTTGCATTGAAAATATTCTGACTTCGATTTTTAAATGTCTTTTCTTATCTTTTTAAGCACCTCTGCTGGCTTGAATTAAAATGCTTCTTTGGTCAGATTTAGAAACATTAAGAATTGGTAAAGACAAACGGAAAGTAATGACTTTTATAAGCTAAAGCAAGATTGAAGATTTGACTTTGACGCATGTTGTTTTTTCACTTTCCAGTACTTCCCACTGTCATTAATCTTTTATAGTGCGCAGGAAACATCCAACCTTGGCATATATAACACTTACATAATGATGCTTTTGAAGGGGATGTTATTAGGAGTTCAACATTTTGTTCATGCTTTTTTTGTCAACAATCATTTTCAGTTTTTTATTAATGTTTCATTTGTTTTGTTTTCATGTTTTTCTTTTTTTTGTAAGATTTATTTCTGGGCTTTTTGTGCCTTTATTATAGAGATAGAACAGTGGACAAGGTTGGAAACCAGGGAAAGAGAGTGCGGAATAACATGTGGGAAAGGAGCCACAGGTTGGATTTGAACCTGGGCCGCCTGCTCGGAGGACAACAGTCTCCATACATTGGGCGCACGCTCTAACCACTGCGCTACCAGTGCCTCGTTTTCATGTGTTTTTGTGAAGCACTCTGTAACACTGGTTTAAAAAGAAACGCTTCACAAAAACACATTTTTACTTTTATTAAAGGTAAAGGAAGAGAAGCAGGTTTTCTCTACATTTGAGTCTGTGTTTGTACACGTTCAAACACACACATACACACACACACACACACACACACACACACACACACACATGGATGTTGCGTAACAGTTCTGTGGCCATTTTTCACACTGAACTATCATTATGTTCCACAGAGAAAGACAATTAAGCCAATTAAGCACAGCTGAAGTGAAGAGCCTAATGGAGGAGAATGGCTGTTATCTACTTCACCGTGAACGTGATGGAAACAAAGATCTTCTCCTTCCGAGCTGATGGACTCTCAACGTTAGATGAGAGATAAAAAATGTGTTTTACCTCACAGCTCTGATTAAACTTAACTCCTATATCTTTTACAGAAAGCACTCACATGTTTATCAGTGTTCAGTCTGACTCTGAATACTAATCATGAGATGTTTTGTAACGTTCATACATTTGTTGTTCAGTCTTGATCGTGGCGTATCTTAAGATTTAAAGTTACATTTGATCATATTCAATGTAAGACTTGTAAGGAGATATGACTTTTTTAAAAATATTTTTATGGGGCTTTTGCCTTATTTAGGTAGGACAGTGGATAGAGTAGGAAATGACATGCGGGAATTGGGAACGGAGCTGCAGGTCAGACTTGAACCTGAGCTTCCCGATTGGAGGACAATATCCTGGGGAGGGATCTAACTGCTAAAGGCCATCAGCGCCCCAGGAGATCTTTCTTAACTTTTAAAATTCACAACATTTTGGGCAAAACACTCACTTCATTTCAACGTGCCGACAGAAAATAAAAATGGTGCCTGCTGCAGAAGTCTATCCTGAAAGTTCTTTCACAACAATGCATTCATTAAATCCCCCTTTCACACATGAACCCCTGACACATCCACAACACTAAATTTCCTGACATTTTCCAGACTTTCCTTTCACACGTTTCCCACAAAGAAGGCGACTGTCAGTGTGCATCATGTTTGGTTGAGGGGAGGCGGCTGAGTGGGGCATGCAGGAGAAGGAGTAGGAGGATATTCTTCAGTGACGGGTGCAGATTCTGAGTTAAATCACTTCAACACAAGTCAAATAGTTTCCACGATAAAAAATGCAAAAGTAGAAAAACGTAGGTCCTGGAACTGAGGCGAGAAAATGATTGTGATTGTGAACACTTGCTCTCAGAGAGGGTTCCACATTATTACTTGCTGCGTTCACAAATAGTCTCACTCGGACTATAAATGGGATTCATACGAGAGGACTGACAGGTAAACACGCTTAGAGTCTGGGTCAATGAATACAGAGATTTGCGTTATCTCTTGCAGCCCACCTGGAGATGTTTTTCAGAAGTGCGATGTGTGAAAGGGGCTCCTGTGATTCTAAAAAAAAAAATTAAGTCAAAAGCATTTGGTTTCGTATTCAAAGTCCTCCAAAATCTCCCTGTAGCTTTAATGATCAGCCCTGTTTGAACAGAGCCAGCAGTGGGATGAAGAGTGTCTCTCTGGCCCCTGGCTGTGTGCATGCCTTGCAGCTCAACAGACAGATTTCGCTGTGACTTGATCATTGACTTAGCCTCCAGCTCCTGCACCTCAGGATCAGTACAAGCCTTAATGAAGTGTGGCTTCCCGCACCAGCTCGTGAGTTAGAGTATGCACCTGAAGGGAACTCAGGGGGGCATGAAGGGAGATTGGGGAAGAAAATTGAAGTCTGCTAGGGCTTGATGGAGGAATGGGATGCCTCAGTTGACGGGAGAAGAGGACAGGGAATTTCAAAGAGAAGGGAGGCAGACTAGAGTTGTGACAGCAGCCTGTTATAGGAAATGTGACAACGTTGAGGGCTTCCAGAACACCTGCTCGGTCTAAATGGAGACAGGAGATTTGAGAAGACCAGTGCTTTGAGATCATATTCGTCCATGGAGTCAGTCTCATGATGAGTGAGTGATTGTCGCTGACAGATTCAGCAACAATCCAGTTATAGCCTTCACCACCCGACGGAAACCGCAAAGAAGTGTTGTATCAATGCAGAGTCCAAACAGCTTTTTTTGAGAAGCAACTCAAGATGAAATTGATGAAAAACACATCAAATGCTGCAGCTTGATTACATTTATGTAACTCTCATTTCTGGACTCTTCCAAATGTGTCACTTTTAGATGGTGCAGGGATGGTTTGTTTACCGTGTTTGAAGGATTGACATTAAGCTAAGCTAACAGGCTGCAGCTTCATATTTATCAAACAGACAGGTTGTAAAATACAGCAGCTTCAAAATATGAAACTGTAGTTAATCTCCAAGGTCTTGTCTTGAACCTGTCTGTAAGCCCATTTATGATGCTGCGTCTAACTTAGGTGACACAGTTTGATGGCGAGGAGGGTGGAGATGACAGATGGGCCAAACTTCAACTTTCTCATATGTGAACCAAGTCTTAATTTGTGTTAAATTAAAAAACAGAGAGGAAGTGAAGAATAAAAAGTTGAATCTTTTTGAAGTTATTTAAGGTTTGATGGTTAGCTACGGAGCCCCTGTGGAGAAAAATATCATGTGCACACTAGAAACTATCCCTGAGCGACAGAAAGTATACCATGCTTACAAGAAGGTATTCTGTCTGTGCACAAGTCAGTTCCTGGTTCCCACAAGAAAATATTCATCAGCAAGTGAAAGTTTATCGTGATCACTGGACAGTCTTGTGTGTGCACGAGAGAGTTTCTTCCATTTTCTCTCATTGGATGAGCTTAATGGCCTTCTGCCATCTTTGGGCTGTATCTCACAGAGTTCATGCGTGCACATCTTTCTCATGAACACAGAAATTGTCTTGTGAGCATGGGTTAGCTTTTAGATTTTGGTGCACAGAAACATTAGTTTTTAGTTTTTCCAATTCCCTAATTTCAGCTATTAGGGACTCCATAGTTAGGTAACTGACAAAGATCATGTATTATATAGTAATGTAACTTGCCGAAGTCACCAAACAAGTGTATATATGTATGTATGCACTCTTTAAAACCCAAATCATGAACTCTTTTTCAAACCTAGACATCTAGATTTGGCGATTTGAAAGAGTAACCTTTCCTTAGACCTTAGAACCTTAGAAATTCACATTTTGCACCGAGCTGCATCATCAACAAGTTCTAAGTGAGTATTTTCTATATAATGACGACTGGAGACCAAGCCATGTGACGGACTCATGTTGTTGACGAGTCACCTGTCTCACCTCCAGCAGCTGAGGGAGTTCAGATCAGTGGTCCCTCCCTTGGTGTGCAGCTGTTCTGTGAGAGACTCCCACTGGCTTTTTATTCAACCACAACATTGTTTCTTCACTTCGTTTAAAGGGAAAATGAGTCATTCTCTCACATTACCTGAAAAAGGTCCGGTGATTTTGGCATGTAGGGACACAGCTCTGCCATTTGCTCCCACGCCAGCTTCAACAGATTTGATTATACAAGCTCGTCTCTCCATTTGTGGCCTTGGTGTTTGCCAAAAATGGATCAGTGAGTGTCTCCAAATGTCCGAGTTCTCTTTGCTATCTTTGACAACACCTCAGAGGGCCTAGACTGTGGTGGGCTTGATGAGTTTCTTGTCCACCTTCACAAAATGATTTAAGTGAACATCATCTATCGGGGAAGCTGATTCAACCTCCTGGAAAAAAAGGCATGTAGCCTATAAACTCCTTCATAGCGGAAACTCCAATGATACCCAGCCTGTTAGTCTGAGATTGGTTTAGCTTGACAATGTCTGTATCAGAGTGACTACAGCTACTCTTTCTTTAGTTTTCCCCTGAAGGTTTAGAGGTAAAATAAACCTTGAGGAGAATTTAAAAAAGGATTGCACGGCTTTTGCAGCTGCTAAACCTCTGGAAGTGAGCCACAATGAAATGGCATGATTCACGGAGCAAATGCAAAGGGTTAAATGAACCCAAACTGCACTGCAGAGCAAAACACGTCCTGGTCATCCAATGCTGTTTGCACGTATTTGAAAAAGCCATTTTAGGCAAAAATGTACCTATTTCTATTCAAATGAGCCATGTTGCGGAAAACATCCAACTCACAAATAAAGTGCTAACGGCCACACTCAGGTAGAGTGATTTATTTTGCTGAGGGTGAGTGGAACCTGCAGCAAAGTATTCATAATATGTCATCAGGAGGTTGAAAATCTAATCTTTGTGAATGAAACTCTGTAATGTACAATTCCACACGTGTAATGAATGTAAGAGTGTGTCGAATGTGAAAAATTCAATGTTTTTAAAGCGAGTCAGTGTTTGAAC